TAGTTCCTAGAGGAACATAGGACTTCACTCTCACGTCTCCATTGCGTTCGCTTCTCTGCCAACCTTTTTCACCTGGCTCCACGTCTGCCCACATGCTTTCATCTTCTCCATGTTACCCTCGCACTGACGACCAACTCGCCACCTCCCATTCGGTTTCCACTCGAGAGCGATAGCCTGGCGTGAGATGTCACTTGATGGTTTGTTTTCTCAGAGTATGGTCAGCCAATCCACCTCCATTTCTCCTTGCATATTTGTTGCACAATGGGTTCCTGCTGGTTTGGTCCGCTCTCAGATGTCCCTATTGCTGATCTTTTCTGGCCTGCCATCTGATCTTGAGTAGTATTGAGTGAAGACGACTGCTGATGAAAGTCTGTAGTTTGTTCGAAGTGGCCTACGTGACGCGGCGCGGCCAAATCTCTAATCCGTATAGTAGCACCGACTGACTTCACAATGGAGTTGGAAGTCTGTAAAGCCTTACTCTTGAGGGAAATGTATTTAGCTTATTGACATTATATTACACTGTAAATAGACATCTTTGTTAGTCGTTGTCTAGTAAATAACCAACTAGTGAAAAAGCTTTTACTGTGTGAAACACATTGTATTTCAAAGGTATTAAACAGTTTAATTGAATTTTGGATTTTCCCGTCGACTGATTGGACCGAAGTGCTCGGTCTCAGGTTGACATGTCGGCTTCTTGTGCAGATGCTTCGACAATGCCTGGTGGCTGGTGACTAGCACTGGAATCCAGGATGCGCATTTCCTCCAAGTGGCCCAGTGGATAACTCTTCGGCGTTGAAATCTATAGGCACTGGGTTCGAGCCTCTATGGGAACATCATCACTCACAGTTTCCTTGATAATAACAGATACTCATTACAAATGATCGCCAACGAACAAGTGGATTAAATATAATACCACTTCAAAATTCAGTGCTTTTGAAATGTCTATCAAACTACAAGGATAGATATTCCACGAGAACACCCTCAACAATATTACCATTCTAAGATAGATTTCAAGATAAATTAGTATCATCTAAGGAACTGTTGAAAACTAAGGAGAAACGGACAGTTGTTTTGTCTCAACTCAGGATATCAGTGCTCTGATATGCATTGATGGCCTTTGAGTCCCAAAAAATCACCTAACCGAGGAATCCAGTTGAACTAGAACCAATACTTGAATATCAATGAGATGCTCACTGGCGACTGGCCCTATTCAGGTAGGTAGTTACCTGAGATTCTAGTGGAGAGTCGTGACCAGTAGGGTGCATCAGGTCGGGTGTGAGGACAAATACTCGCCGAAGACATTGGCTAGCGGTCACGCTATATCGTGAGTTGGCAGAAGTTAGAATTCATAGACCATTGGATCGGGTTCCAGAGGCTTAACGGTATATGAGCTCGCCTTGTAACCAGAAGGTCCTGGGTTCGAACCCCGGTGTGTGCGTACCGCTGAAGAGTCCCAAACTAAGACGAAACATCTGTCCAGTACTCCCAGGTTTTCCAATGGTTCTCTAACCAATGTCAGCTCATGATGAAATCCTGTAACCAATCAACCAAATCCCTACAAACCAATGCTTGAACTAGAAAAGCTTGAAAAATCATCAGCCATAGGTCGTCTAAACGCTACGCTTTAGAATCAGGTCACAAAATTGATTTTGACAATATTGAAATCATCATCCAGAAAAAGCATTTCAGAAATCACAAAGAACGTCTCATATCATCAGAGGCACTTCATATGATCAAATGGAATCCAAATTGTTTGAATAGGAATGATGGACTAGAATAGTCCCCGCCCCCCACTACACCATGAAATGACAAAATCAACACGAATGTGATAAGCAATTTCATTATGTAAACACACACGCTGCTTTTGTATAATTTTACACACTTATCAAATCCAACAAAACAATCTACACCTGGTTTTGTTATCTTTACACCAATTAGCCAACTTGACATCGTAAAAATGACCCCATGCTGAGGAACGATGATTAAGTTGTTGCATAATATAAGCTGAGTGGATTTTGTAAATTCTTCGGGTTTAATATTACTACTTTGATAAAGCTATTAGCAGCAGCATTTGAAATAGCGAAACGTCAGTAAAAACATTAATATCGTTTTGTCTTTTTCATTCATTCATGCGTTGGGAATTACAAGGAAACCTTTATTATAAAGTATTATTTGACTTTCACGTTATATCACCAATTACTAGCTGTTAACAAGTTTGATCTTCAGAATGACTCAATCGTCGTTGGAATGCAATCGGCCTTCTGTTCATCTTTACATATGGTGATGTTTATACAACACTAAAGAATGCCAAAGTAGATCGTGATACATGCGTAATATAATAACAGTAAACAGCAGTATTTGGTACTAGTATGACAACAGAAGACAAGGGTCAGGCAACAGATCGTTTATTAAGGAAATCAACGCATATTTACAGATTTTAATGTATATTATTGTATATTATTGTTAGTAGAAAATACAGTCTTTTGATTGGTTGTTTCTCACAGAAAGTTAACCTTGCATCTCTTTGTGGCTGTGTCACATCATCCATATGCTAACTGTATCCGCCTACGCAAAGCCTTTGTTCTCATTTTCTCACCATCAATATTGGGGACATAAACATTGACGTCAATTACTGTCTACCAACTTTGGCTAGCAGCCAGCTCTCACCACACTAGGACTTAGCTTCCGATATCATGAAACGAAGGATATCACAGTCCCTGAGAAGAACATTCCCTGCTGCATCTCCCGCTGTTGACCAACTCTATGTGTGTTTATCAATTCACCTGCTCGTTTGGAGCTAGGTATGTCGGTCGTTCGGCACGAGTTTTGTCCAAGAGGGTGCAAGAACACTATCCTGCATGGTTACGTAAAGGTGGAAGTGGAGCAATAAGAAGCGCGATCATTGAACATCTGGTCGATAATGATCACCCTATCTCTATAGTCTCCACCTTTAAAGTCATCTACAAGGCAAAGAGTAATTTACCCAAATCCCTACGTACCCAACTCATCTGTATTGCTGAAGCTTTGGCTATCGAAATAGAAAAGCCAGATCTCTGTGTACAGAAAAAGTTCGTTCAACCCCTCCAACTCTCATGGTCTTAATCCCTCTATGCTAAAGTATGGTAATCCCTAATCATATTTTGGCTCTACCAATTTTTCATCTTTTCATTTTGTCTATTTAATTTGTATACTCTTCCTTATTACGTCAATTGTTATTATTACTACTCTCACTTTTAACTGTCCCCGGTATTATTTCACTTGTTCCACTTGTCATTCTGAATCAATTCCTTTTTACAAAATTAAATTCAATGCTATTAAATTTCACACAATATTACGTAACGTTTTTATTTTATTCGATTTGTCTACTAATCTTATAATTGCACACTTTTTTTCAAGTTCTATCCATCCTATGAATTATTCTGTATATGACATTAATTTGCTTTGCCACTTGACATTTAACTACGATTATAATCACAAACATTTTAGTCTTAATTGCAATTCATACTACTATTATTATTTTATGCATTCACACCTATGTTTCAATTCCCTCACCGGATATAACTTCTTAAAAACCATATATATACGATTGTACAGCATGATGATAAATTCGTTGAAAAGAGTCTCTTCGCTGAATCATTTGTTTTGATTTTCTATATGTTACAATGGGAATTTTCCATGACTAGAATTGTTGACATCTATTTCTGCCTGAAACTCTCTGATCTGTCATGCCATCTTTCAAGGGTCTTGGAATTGGTGAAAGGATTTCATCATGAGCTGACATTGGTTAGAGAAACATTGGAAAACCTGGAAAGAGTACTGGACAGCTGTTTCATCCTAGTTTGGGACTCTTCATCAGTACGCACCCACCGGGGTTCGAACCCAGGTCTTGGAATTCATCAATCACTGATGAGACTATAGGACTCATTAACTTTTTTGTGATTTCCATCAGCTTATTTATTTCCGTAGGTTAGGCTGCATTCACTAACTGCAACTGGTGAAAAATAGCTGTAATTATGCGCCTTCCACAAACTGGGAAGCTAGAAGCTGAGTTTTCAAACCTTTATCTAAGGCTGGTAACTTGCGTAATAGAAGATTTGTCAAGGTTACTGCCACAACCAATGGATCTCCGTCTTCACCAAACCATTGGCTCCTAAATGTCTGCAAATGCCTCTTCTCTGTCTATTGGGCTGTCAAACTTTGAAATCGACTGGTCAACGAACGACCTGCGAGTCAGGTTCACGGGAACTGTGGTAGGGAGTTTTCGCCAGACCTCTTAACGGTATCCCTAGAATCACACTGCCTTCGATGTCGGATCCTGGACGCCTACCAACCTCAATAACGCTTATTAAATCTCATAACAATCTCCAGGTTTCTCATAATATATATATTAATAATATCAGTTCTTCTGTACGGATCAGAAACTTGGCGGCGGGTCACAAAGAATATTTCCAACAGCCTCTTGCACACCTTTATCAACAACAGCTGTCTTCGCTGGCTCTTTATTGAAGATCAGATGGCCGGATAGAATCACCAACAAGAAAATATGGGAACAAACAAACAAAACAAGAACCAATCGCCAAGCAACAAATATGCAGGAGAAAGTGGAGATGGATTGGACACTCGCTGAGCAGAGGAGGCCGCTGGGTGACATCGCGCGTCAGGCCAGTGCTCGAGTGGAACCCGAAAGGGAAGTGTCGAGTGGGACGTCAGTGCAAGGGTGACATGGAGGAGATCGTGTGAAGAAGAGTTGAAACAGTATGGATTAACATGGATGCAAGTGAAAAGTACAGCAGAAGACAGAAGCAAGTGGAGACGTGCAGTTGAAGCCCTATGTTCCACTAGGAACCCAAGGGAACAATAATAATAATACACGTTTAGTTTTAAAAAAAAGAATTTATTTGTCTTGAATACATTAAAATATACAATATTATTCATTATATAATCGTTTTTATTGTCAAAATATCCATTGAGTAATTGTATAATGTTAATTCATTACTTAAGAAGGAACATTATGAACAGGTCTCTCAGTGATATTTGTATTAAAAGCGGAGGGGGGGCAGCCTAAATAAGATTTACAAGACCTATCTTTATTCACTGAGACTGGAAACAAATGCTTATGATCGGCCACTTTATTGTTTTTTTGGGAGGAGGGGGGTTTATAAAAGAAATTATTTTGTTAACATATTCACATATTACTTAATAATAATAACAATAATAATAGGTATAAGTATAAACTGTTTGTAGAATGTCTCTGTCAGGAATGTCGTAAAGGATGAATTTATGTATACGTATGTGTACATACAGTTGCTATAGTGATGGGCAAGATATCATATAACATTGGGAAAAAACAAATCACAGTAGAGTTTTTTTTGTTGCTTTGATACAAGATTAGTACTTACTACTCTAATGGGACCAATATCAGTAGTATGCATAGTGTAAGTATTGTCACCTAATTATATATTACTCACAATAACAACAAAATTGACAAATTAAAATATTTTCTTAAATAATCTTCTTTTCAAAATTTGCGCCTTTTTGAAAATTAATTCACTGATTAAGAAAACGAAGAAGAAGAAGCGGTTGAAGCATTTCGATTGATCGATGTCGTCATTTCTGTATCCAGTGAATTGTCAAGAATTTTAGACATTAAAAGTGACAAATGCCTGATATTATTATTATTATTATTATGAGCACCATTGCTATTCACAGGCTTCTTTTCACCAATCGACATAAAGTTATCTGATACACTGGAACTTGTTCGAATTGAATCTGTTAGTGTTGATGTGTTGTTGCCTAGTGATGCTGATTTAAACGCATTCGGTGAAAATGTCATCATCAGGGAGGAATTCCTCTTGAAATCTGACAAATTATTCGTTTGTATATGATACGGTGACCTTGATGAATTCGGTGGTAGAAACAAGTTTATATCATCATCTTGGTGATATTTATTATGGAGAATAGATGGACGATAATTAAAAGTTTCAGAGATCGAAGAAGGCTTCATTGAATAGTCTTCTTGTAGAATATTATCATTTCTGATGGGAGAATAATTCATTTCAGGGTTAAAACATGATGATGATGACAGTTTTTGTTGATCCAATGAGTACTTAGCACTGCTTGATGCTAGAGAAGACAAACAACTATTTGTACAGTCAAAATTTTCATTCATAAAACTATTGATATCTGAATATCTTAGCTGATTTTTAGCCAGATTGAAATAGTCCATATGTGGTACTGTTCCCCTTTGATGATCCCTTGTCATTAAAGCTGGTGTTGTGAACGATGTTGATGATGATGATGATAATGGTGACGATAACGATGCTTCTGTTATCGTGTTCATTGAAGCACGTGATTTGAATTTCTTCGAATTATTCAATTTAAAGTTGATAATATTATTCTGACTTCTTTCTTCTCCTTGAAATCCTGTACTTGTAGCTTCCGATGGTGTCGCTGTTGTCACTAGCCATGATTGAAGCCATTTTCCAGGAGGATTCTGTTTAAACATTTGTTTATGACGATTCACTGAATGTGCGCCTAATAAATGCTTTGAATGCATACACTTACGCATATGCTTTTCTAGTGTAGACGGTACTATAAACGGTGTATGACAATATTTACATAAATATCTTGGTTTACCATCCTTGCCGTGTGTTTTCATATGTCTTGTCAATTTAGACGATTGTGCACATGCATAGTTGCACAGTTTACATTGATAGGGTTTCTCGCCTGTATGACTACGTCGATGTACTGTCAGATTACTACAATTTTTAAATATTTTACCACAATATTCACATGTATCATTACGTTTTGTATCACGTCTTGGTGTGATTGAATTACTCGATGAAGGGGATAATAACCGAGGGAATTTTACTACTACTGGTGATATTACTGTTGGTGGTGGGGATAACGAGGTTGAAGGTTTATTATTCGCAGTCGATAATAATTTTTTAATTGGCGAACGTCCTGAGACACGGTTATTATCTGTAGTAGGACTATTATTATTATTACTATTGAGTGTGTTGACAACAGAGGACATACGAACTGAATTTAAACCCCGATGTATTCGTGTACGTTTATGACTTCCTGGAGCTTTATACTCCAATCTATCACTATTTAATTGATTCATAAGATCCAGTCTATTATTAGACGATGTTAAGATATGAGAGCTACTTGTATTACTGCAGGGATTGTCATCGACAGTATCACCATCATCAATATCATCGCGATCATGAGTAGTTAAGCATGGATATGACTTCTTGAAGGGATCTTGATAACTCATTAACTGTACACAATTCTCTTCACCTATATCATACAGATTCTGTTGAATACATCCTCTTTGAGACTGTTTTGAATTTATTTGATAACTTGTAGTATAGTTATTTCGTAGACTCGTTTTATTTTCAATATACAACTCTTTTGATTCATTAAACATCTTTTTACCAGTGGTGGCACTGTCACCCGTAAAATTGTTACGCATACTACTGTCAGTCATAGAGAAACTAGTAGTATGTTTACTTTCACTTCGATTTATGATGAGTTGATCATTATTTTTTTGAGAATGGCACAAGTCTTGTCGCATAATAAATTCCTTTTTAATAAAGTTTTCTGTAGAATTTTTCGAGTTATCCAAGTCATGATGCCTGCTGGATGGTTCAAATGTGAAATGTGAAGGGAATTTACTACTAATATTCTGTTTATTATTGATATTTTGTGCAGTTGTCAAACATGAATTTGGATATGGCATTGTCTGTGCACTATTATAATTGTTATTATTATTATTGCCAGTATTATTGATAGTATTCCTACAGTTTGAAGTATTCACCGTTGACATTTGATGTTGTATAAAGTAACGCATCATTTCTTCATAATAACACGTTAAATAATACTGTAAAAATGCTTCACGAGTCGGTGATGAGTCTACTGTTTTATTATTCTGTGTAACTAGATTTTGCGGACAATTCAAATTGGCCTGGCAACATATATCATCGTTTAATGCATCGTTGAATTGCATCGTTGTTATTGATGCTAATGTTGATGTTGATATCGATGATAAGGATGGTGATGATGATGATGATAACGATGATGATGATGATGACATCGGAAAGGATCCAAAACTTTTCATACTGTCTTTATCCTTTAATGATACTTTACAATTATTCTTTTGTGTTTTTTGTTCAATATTTATATTGTTCAAGGTCGATGGTTGTTTTAATGAATTCCGCGGGATTTTCAATATATGATGTGAAGAATTATAGGGATGAATATTATTATTATTTAATTTATTAGATTTGTTGAAATCATTTGATATTTTAAATTCTCTGGGTTTTTTTTCAATTGAATCATAACTTGAACTTCGAAATTTCATTTGTAAATTATTATTACTATTAGTAGTAGTATCAGTAGTATAACAGGATTGATCATTTGACATAATATCGAATGAAGCTGATACATTTGAAAGGATAACGGGTGGGCAACTTTTACATCTATTCAATAAATGCATATTTTTACATTGGTTTTGATTAGATATACTCATACTCATATTTGATACAGTCTTCTTTTGTCTTTTTTTATTCATATGTACTTTTGTAAATTTCTTTTGTGTTAGAAGATTATGAGAATAGTTAGTAGTAGTAGTATAGTAGTATTGCTTATTTCATTCTGACAGACATTAGTCTTGTTGTCGACTGTAGGGAAATATGAATTATTATGGAATGTATTCATAAATTTTTTATCTTTTTCATATTCCGACGAAGTTATCAAAGGTGTTGTAGTTTGTTGTTGTTTCTTCAACAAGAAGTCATTGTGATTGTTGACATAATTGTTAAAACTGTTACAACTATTGTTATTATTATTATTGCTATTGTATGAAACCCTATTCGACATCTTTGAGTACATTAAATTGCATAATTGACTGTAAATTAACCAATTTAATGGAGGACATTCATCTTGTTTTAAAATCGATGGAGTTGATTGCATCCTATTATTATTAATATTATTGTTTGAATGAATTACTGGCGGACAATTATTGAGTAGCGTTAAATTTGAATAAGCATTCGATTGATTAATTCCCATTGAATTTTGAACAACACCAGAAGGTTTTAATATACTCTGAGATTTATTTAATGGGATTGGAATTGAGAATGCTGAGGAATGATGTTCAACTAGAGGATTTGTAAAAGAAGGATATCCAGTCATTTGAAGGGAAAAAAAATTTTTTTTTGTTTTGATTCTATATTTAGTCTAAATAAAAAGAGGAAAAGAGAGACAATAGATAATTTTGCTCAAGTGTTAGTTTGCGAGAATTTGATTGATCGGTTTTGCGGGATTTCATCATGATCAGCTGAAATCGGTTGGAAAAATTAACTGGAAGTACTGGACAGTTAGCTGTTTCGTTAGCTTAGTTGAGGACTCTTTAGTAGTAAGCACCCACTTGTTGCGGTTCGAACTCAGGACCTACTGGTTACAAGGAGAAGTTCGGTGAATGCATGCTGTTGAAGAGCGCCGAAACATGCTGACAAAAAAAAACAGCTAGCTGTCCAGTACTCTAGTGCTGGTTTTCCAGTAATTCTCCAAGACGATCTTAGCTCATGATGAAATTCTTTATGGGTAAATCAATTTTTTTCAATATTTTTTATTTCAAAAATGGCTGAATTTAAACGGGAAAGATCTTATGCTTTCATGCTCTCATTTCTACGGAGATTTTTATTACAAAATAAAACATTCGACTTCTACTGATGAGATTAATAATAATAATAAAGTTTTATTTCAGACAATATATGAACACATAATACAGAAATTTTCAGCTTAAACGTTTAAGCATCATTTTCCTGAATAGAAATTCCGGTAGCCCAGGGATTTAAACAGTCCGCCAAGACAAAAAATATTCAATGAATATAAATATATAATTAAATGATCAACTGAATGTTAGGAAGTAATATTGCGTTGACCGCGAAGTAATTTGGAAACTACTCGAGTACTACGGCGTACCCCAAATATTCATCAAACTTATTCAACAGGTGTACGACAACGGCACATGTCAAGTGATCCCTCCACAAGGGAAGACTCAGCGAGGATTTTGGAGTAAACACAGAAGTCAGACAAGGGTGCCTACTATCACCAATGATATTCCTAATTGTGGTGGACTGGATTATGCGTCAGACAGACAGTGGGAAACGAGAAGACAGGGATATCCTGGACCGACGTGAAGAATCTAGAAGACCTGGATTTCGCGCGTGGATGATTTATGTTTGATGTCACACAGAATCGAAGACTTACAAGCGAAAACCGACAAACTGGTCGAAGAGACTGGCAGCGAAGACAGGACTCCAGGTGAACATAGACAAGACGGAGGTTATGAAAATAACCAACCAACCAACAACAAGAACATCAGCAGCAAGATCCACAGCCAATCACCATCAACGGGAGGGATTTGAAAGAGGTTACTTCATTCATTCACTTATCTAAGGAGCATTGTCTCAACTACACGAGGAACGGACGACGATGTCAAATCGAGCGAGAATCGGGAAGGCGAGAAACACATTCATCAACCTGAAACAACCAATCTGGAAATCTTCCGCTGTCACTCACTCAGCCTGCATCAACAACAAAGTGATTCGGATTTTCAATACAAACGACGTCAAGTCAGTCAGTTCTTCTATACGGATGGATCAGAAACTTGGCCAGTGGGTCACAAAGAATATTTCCAACAGCCTGTTGCACACCTTTATCAACAACTGTCTTCGCTGGCTCTATACTGAAGATCAGATGGCCGGAATCACCAAGAATCACCAACAAGAAACTATGGGAACAAACAAACAAAACAAGAACCAATCGCCAAGCAACAAATATGCAGGAGAAAGTGGAGATGGATTGGACACTCGCTGAGGAGGTCACTGGATGACATTACGCGTCAGGCCGTAGCTCGAGTGGAATTCTACTTTGGGCAAATTTTATTTTGATAGAGTCTCACAGTGTTATATCAGTAAATATTACTGTATAACACTGTGAGACTCTATCAAAATAAAATTTACCCATAATGGAATTACACTCTACCACAGTGCCCAAGTTTTATTTTTATATCAATAGCTCGAGTGGAACCCGAAAGGGAAGTGGCGAGTGTGACGTCGAAGGGTGACATGGAGGAGATCGTGTGAAGAGGAGTTGATGCAGGTGAAAAGTACATCAGAAGACAGAAACAAGTAGAAGCGTGCAGTTGAAGCCCTATGTTCCACTAGGAACCCAAGGGAACATTAATAATAATCTCATTACTCTGTAGTCTGGTAAATGAATTTTTAGTATTTCAGTAGTCCTCATATATTTAATGAGCAAAACCTTGGATAATGCTTTAAGGTTAAAGAATGATTTATGCTTTGCAGTGAAAATTACATGTTTTTTTAGAAGTGTTTGAATACGCTTCAATTCTATCATAAAAACACCATTTGTTCGAGTGTATCATCAACGATATGGACGAGAGAGAGAATGAAAAAGAGATTTTTCTACTTTCTGTTCTAACAGAATCTAGTTTTGATAGAAATCATATTCCCGTGGTATGTGTATTGAGGAAACTCGAGTGCATTAAAGCGGTAACAACACGACAAGTAAAAGAGAGAGAGAAAAAAAGACCTAGGCATTAACACTATTCGTAATTCAAATCTTATGGTTTCAGGTTACTTAAACTGCTTCTCTTCCAGCTGTAGATCCATTCAACACATTGTTTCAACCGACTTGTGCTAATGAAGCATTGGTTGTGTGCAAATGAAATCCCTTTAATTCCCAGACTAAATTTCAGTGTGAATAGATTGAAAGACTGTATTCATTTAAACTGACTCATCTAGAATTTCATACATACACAATCAAGACCAAAACAATCAGATAACGAGACAAGTGTGTTACCATTAGGCCACTAAGTTCGAATATTCAAGTGTTGGTTTGTAGGGATTTGATTGGTTACAGGATTTTCATCATGAGCTGACATTGGTTAGAGAACCACTGGAAAACCTGGGAGTACTGGACAGCTGTTTCGTCCTAGTTTGGGACTCTTCAGTAATACGCACCCACCGGGATTCGAACCCAGGACCTTCTGGTTACAAGGCGAGCTCGTAGACCATTAAGCCACTGGGACTCGATCCAATGGCCCATGAATTCTAACTTCTTCCAATTCACGACATAGCGCGACTCCTAGCCAATGTCTTCGGCGAGTATTTGTCCTCACACCCGACCTGCTGCACCCTACTGGTCACGAATCCGGTAGCCTCTAACACCTAATAATATTTATCCCTAACCTCTGCCATGGATTTATTTCTCCCTGTTTATTGAGTATATTATCCTTTGAAGTAAATTTGGTGGATGGTGACTAGCTGTGGAATCCAGGATAACGCACATTCCACCCTCCTGTTTAGGACTAGTCGTCAGGTAGTGAGTGGGTGTATCAACATTCCCCAGTGTGTGTGTGTGTCAATAATGATCTTCCTACTGAGACCCGAACGTTTCAAACGTCAAACCACTATCCACTAGACCATTTGGGTCACGAGAACCACCTTTTGTGCAATGGGTATTAGTAATTATTGAATTTAATTTGGATTTTCCCGTTGATTGATTGGTCCGAAGTGTAGGAGGTGACTCTCGTGGCCCATGTAGTCTAATGATTAACACATTTTGTAGTTCGAAACGATGGGGTAATGGGTTCGAGCCTCAGTGGTGGTGGTGGTGGGGGGGAGGGGAACCGACAACTAGTCTCAAATAGGAGGATGAAATGCACATTTTCCTGGATTCCACTGCTAGTCTCAGTCAACATCCATCACAATTACTTCATGAAAAATTCCCATTCGAACATTAATAGACAGAAGACAAGTAGTTCAGCGAAGAGTCTCTTTTCGGCGAATTCATTTTCATAGCTGTACAATCGCAAATATATATGGTTGTTTTGTATGTGTGTGTACATTAAATTTGTCAAACGAAAATACAATTAGTAAGTTCAGGTGAGTTGGATGTTGATATAAGAGAGTAGTAACAAAAGTGATGAGTTGTCACAAACGATTGTTAAAGAAGAGTTACGTAATAACATGAATAGTTTAATGAAAGAGTTGTACTCAGGGTGTACATGGAAACAAAATATACGGAATTACACAAGGGTTTTAAGTAGAAAAATAAGCATACAAACAAAAGTCAAGTCAAATCAAACAAACAAACAAAGAAAAGTTAAGTCAAATCAACACAGTTGTTACCATGGGAGTAAAAGTGGTTGAATAATTTTCTTTTGTATGCACAGTTCTGGTTCCTCTAGCTTAATGGCTAGGGCTTCTGCAATGCAAAGAAGACGGAATCGTACTGTCTTTGGAAGGTTGTTCTTCACTTTGTAGATTACTTTGAAGGAGGCGTTTGTTGAGATGGAATGACCAGTGTTGACCAGGTGTTCGATTATTGCACTCCTTATGCAGCCATTACTTCCTTTCTGTAGCCACACTGGATAGTGTTCTTTGACCCTTTATGACAGGATACGCGTTGAACGACCAATGTACCTGGCTCCAAAGCAACAGGTGAACTGATATATACACATAGAAGTGGTCAAGTGCGGGATCTTGTCTTTTGGGCTACTGCAGATCAGCGGGCAACTAGAGAAGACTACTCTCAATGTTGCCGCAAAGAAAGTTCTTCTTACAGAGGTGGAGATTCTCCTTCTAAGGACGTCACTGAGTAGGTCTCCTTTGAAGTCGACGTTCATATAAAGTATCAACATCCAATTCATCCGAACTTACTAATTGTATTTTCGTTTGACAAATTTAATGTACACACACATACAAAACAACCATATATATTTGCGATTGTACAGCTATGAAAATGAATTCGCCGAAAAGAGACTCTTCGCTGAACTACTTCAGGTGAAATTCCTCAAACAAATCGTCGAAACATCTACACAAGGAAGAGCTGACATGTCAACAACACTAGAGGCCGAGCACTTCGATCGAACCAGTCAACCGGCGGCAAGCCCAAATTGAGTTAAATATTATATTATCGTTTTTAATTGAAAATTATATTTTTAGTTTAAAAGTTTTCCTCCCCCCCCCCCCGCGCCTGCTGCCGTCACCACCACCACCACCTGTTAACTTTATTTACCCCTCTTTTTCTGTCTCTCTCTCACTCCTTATTTTACCGTTTTATTTATCTATTTTTCCGCCTTGTGTCTAGGTCACATAGTTTTGATTTCAATTTCTCCTTTCTG